ATGGTATATGCAATAAACACTAAAAGATGCTTTTTAGCAACATGGAATCAAGAGGGCTAGAGCATTGGGCTATTTTTATGGTGCCCTAGATTCCTTTTCCTAAGGACTTATCTGTAAATGATCATACGGGACTTACAGTACAACTGTGAGGGCTATATGGCTCTGGCTTTAGCTCAGTATGAGGACATTTTCTAGCTGGTTAGTGGTTACCTTTATTGGTGTAAGAATGGCTTGCCTAAATCGGGTATAGGACAGCCTCTACTCTTATGTGTATAGTCGTGATGGAATTATGCCGTTCGACAGGGGGGTTCCTATATCTGTTTGCCGAGTGAATCTAATGGCCCAAACTTGATAGACGAACCTTTGAAAGGCTTCATAGTGAACCCTGCCGACCTTACTTGGTAGTGGGTTAAGAGGCTCGCGACCTCGGGCGAAAGGGTAAATCACGACTCACAGTGAAAGTGTACAACCTCTACAGAGTGTAAAACTGGTATATCAGGCGTGCTCACGGTCACGAGCGGCCTTGGAACCCTTACGGAATAGATGATGAACACTGATGATACTGATGATGAAGATGTTCACTAATGATTACTGTTTATGCTATTCATTATTCATGTTTACCTGATCATGTGTTTATGTGGGCTTGTGAATAAACTTGTTGCTACTCAATTGCTAAAATCATGACTCATTAAAAGCTAATTGCAGTTAAACCAGTGTCAACCTTTTGAGCTTCATGAACCCCATGTTATATTTGTTAAGTATGACATGTACTTACGCATGCTTTATTTTTCAATTATTTGGATAAAAATCCCGGATGGGTACTAGATTGCTATAGTTTAGAGGAATTAGACTTGTGATCAACCAGTCAGTTGTTCCTGTGGAATTGGAGTCTTCACCCAAAGATCGGAGTTGTCTTTCCGCTGTTTGTTGTCTAAGGTTATATTTTTTGTACTAAGTACGTTATATATTGAGTATTGTCTATTGATATTACCCTTATTTATAGCTATATGTGAGATTTGACTTCCTGGACTCACTTATGGTGCATATCTGGTTTTGTTCTTAAAACCGGGTGCTACATCTTCCCTTTATATGCTGGATGCGGAGCTGGGATCGTCTCTGTCTTGGGTTTGGAGAGCTATCGTTGATGGCATTCAGGTGTTGCAACAAGGTTTGATCCGTAGGATCGGGCCGGGCGAATCAACAAAAAATTGGGAGTCTCCATGGCTCCCCAGAGATGGCATGCTGCTTCCGCTACGACCGACCAAGGATAACCCACCGCAGTGGGTCTCTCGAACTTATTGATCAGTCTTCACGGAGTTGGAACAAGCAGCTTCTGAGGGAGTTCTTTTCTCCGTTGGACCGGGACATCATTGAAAATATCCCGTTAAGTACTACACCGCAAGACGACTTATGGGCATGGCATTATGAGAAGAAAGGCATCTTCTCTGTCCGGTCGGCTTATCAGATGTTGATTCAGAATCGGGAGGTAATGTTAGCCTGGGTAGAGGATTGGCCAGGTCGCTCGAACACAAGGACCCAAGAGAAGGAGTTGAGTGACATATGGAGAATCAAAGTTCCATAAAAAATCTGAGTTTTTCTGTGGCGTTTGGCAAGACAGTCCATCCCAACAGGAGACGTGCGACATCATAGGAATATGGCGCTGGATGGGACCTATTCTTTGTGTGGTGGGTTGGACTCTTGGAGGCATGCACTGCTGGAGTGCAACTTAGCCAAGTGTGTCTGGGCATTGGAGAAGGAGGATCTCAAAGCTTTTATATGCCAGATAGAAACGTCGGATGCAAGAGTTTGGTTAGCAGAGGTGATGGCGGCACTCAAGCATGAAGAGCTCAACCAGGTGGTGGTCCGTCTTTGGGCCATCTGGTACGCGCAATGTTAGGCACTGCTTGAGAACAACTTTTAGAGTCTGTTCTTGACGAACAGTTTTGTGGAGCGGTTCATTAGTGAATTGGAGATGATCAAGCCGAGCAGCAAGTGGTGGGTGATCCAGCACCGCAATGGATCAAGACACCAAGGGGTTTTGCGAAGGTTTATGTGGATGCGGCGATTTCCAAAAATTCAAGCAACGCCTTGGCAGCGGCCGTGGCCGGGGATGAGGATGGTAATTTTCTAGGCGCCTCGGCATTGGTCCTGGAGGGCTGCGTCGACCCGGAAACAGCCGAGGTGGTGGCGTGCCGTGAGGGTCTCGCTTTGGCCAGTGACTTGGGCCTCCAAACTCTCCGGGTGGCGAGCGATTGTGTCAATGTAGTTGAAAGCATACATGGTGTGGGTTTCGGGAGGTACGAGACAATTGTACGGAAAATCAAGACCCGGACGAAAAGCTTCACAAGGGTAGAGTTTGTTCATGAAGGCAGACACTCCAATATTGATGCTCATTGTTTAGCTAGGAGTTCTGTAAACTTTTCGGTAGGAAGACATGTTTGGTTTATTGGTCCTCCTGATGGAGTTTGTACTATGAATAAAGAGGGGTGACACTTTGCTAAAAAAATCAATCAATACACAACTGATTTTTAGATATGTCTTAGATTTTTGTTAGATACGATCATAATTGGCAACCTCCGTAGAAATGTCTCTAGAAATTAAATTTTTGGAGATGGTTCTATTAAGCAAACAACCTCTAAAAATTCTCGTATTTGTTGCGGTGGTTGGCATAAGCTACTGTCCTAGGAATAGGATTTCCGAGGACAATTCATAATCAAGGTTCTAAATTTTCGGCTATAGCTGTCCGAAAATGATTTAGTTTTTTACGTACAATTTAGTTGCTAGCTGTTGCAATAGCTGTCAAGGTACTAAATAGTGGTGGTAGCAGCCACTATAGCGGTAGCGGTCTCCTACTGCTACCGCTATGATGTAGCGAGCTGGATTTAGCAAGTTGGAACTTAGGGCTGCTATTTGAGTTAGCGGATTGAAACTAATTAGTAGAATATCAATAAATAACATTTAATATTAATTAATTTACATATTATTAATGATACATAAATATTAAATTAATTTTAGTACTTTTTAATTTAGTTTAAACCTAATATATTTGTTGTTGTAAATTATTTTAATATTTTATTCTTTGCTTATGTAAATTATTTTATATAATTTATAATTTTAAGATAAATATTACATAAATAATTATTGATTAATTGATATATTTAAATATAAAACATTTATTAATAACTATATTATTATATTTAAATTTCTTCACTTGAACCATCATTTTATTAGATATTATCCATTATAATTTGGTTTGCTTAGATATCAGAGATTATTAGAAGCGTACTTTGATTTTGTTTGACTTTAGTTATCAACGAATTTAGTAGTAAAATTCTATTCATCTATATTGAAGTTAACAATATGCACTTTGAGTTGAATTGAATAAATATCCGAATAGAAATCCAAATCCGAGACATTTGTTTTGTATTCGTATTCGAAAAAATTTATATGAGCATTCGGATCCAGATGAAAATGTGGTAAAATGTGACTTCCGGATCCGATTCCTTATGAATCCGATCCGTTCCATCACTCGGAGCGGTAGAGCACCGTCCACACAGTAGGAAGGATCTGGGGTTGTTTGGTTGTTTGGCACGACTTCTCTGTTGAGGCTCATCCGAAGGAGCCGAAGCCGTTTTGGAGGAGCTACACAAGTCGGAGAGAGGCTCCTCCGGAGGAGGTGATGTCGGAGGCTGGCAAATAGGCCCTAAGCTAGGTGGGGTTCGTGGCATGGCCACAGGCTGAGCACGGGAGTCAGCCACGACAGGCGGGCGGGCATGGCTCACACACTGTGGCTTGCGGGCGGGCACAGCTAAGGCCCAAGGCCTATGGACACAGCCCATGATCCAACGTCTTGATCAAGCCGAGGCACTCGATGGCTGTGTCGGCCCAGCACAACGTGCTTGGGCCGCTAGCATGGTTTGGCCCGACTGTCAAATCCAGTCGTCTTCCTCATCTCCCGTACAACTCGTGGTCGCGCCGCATCTCGCATTCTCGCATCGCCCTCGGCAGGCTCAACGGGCCCTCGTCCCTTCACGGTTAAGTGGCTGTGCCAGGGCTGCCACCTCAGCCCATGGACAGGCACGACATGGCGAGATTTGTTAATAGGATCGTGCCGGTCCGACTATTATCGAGCCGTGCCTCTCAACGGGCCTGGCCACCTGGATTGGGTTTAATAAGCTTTGTTCAATTGTTGTTCATACATTGTGTAATGAATACTGATGTGTGTGCCCTTGACATGTCTGTTGTTCATCTCCTCTCTTACTGCACAGTTAAAATTATGCTGGTATGTTTGGAGTGGATGCTTTCCGACAATGAGATCACAAACAACAATGTTGGAAGAAGAAGAGTCGAGAGAGGGGGATTGGGAGTGGTTTTTGTGGATGAATGCTAAGATCAGTTGTAACTATATCTGTTCGGGTGATGGTTTCTATGGCTCATAAGCCGGCTGATGCTTATTTGTTGTGAGAGAAAAACGCTGTATCATGGCTAATAATCCATGCTGATAAGTTCAAGCGAACAGGGCTATGATTTTTGGTACTCCACATTGGCTGATAAATCCTGTACCATGGCTGATAAACCGGCTGATGCTTATGTGTTTTGATATAACTGTTATGCTGATCGCAAAAAAAAGATATAACTGTTATGTATAACAACGTTTTCGGTACTCCACATTGAATTCAGCTCAATATAGAAACTATTTTCTCTATCACATTTATAATTTAAGGCATACTTCCATCCTAAACAGTATACAATGTTAAAGGTGGTAAATCAAATTTTAATTACCCTTCAGACACTTGAACACACTTATTCAGTGTTAGAGTTAACCATGCATCTTGGGTTTAGAATTTTACTTTTCAGTTATATGAATTTATTTATATGAACAGAAATCCTACTTAAGGTATAAATTACTTGAAAAATTATGGTCTTATTATTTCCATATATACAGGCAAGTATAGGCAAATAAAACACAATATTCTTTTTGTACTGATGTGATGCCATACCGAAAGCCATATCTTTCCCCATTGAGGTATAGCAGATGCACCTCCATGCGATAAAATCCATGCACGTCCTTTAGTCAATGCATCATTTTCACATGCCTGGCCAAGGAGTCTTAAGGTAACATAGTTTAAGCATGAGCCAAACATGGTGCTTGGTCCCAAAATTTGTGTGCCCCAGCCGCCGTCTTCATTCTAAATTGTTATATATATTGGGAACAAGCATTGTCATAATTTGATTGATTAATGATATATATTAAAATAGTTCAAGTAGACAAAATACTATTGCTAGAAATAAGAGGAACCTTATAACTATACATGCCTGATGGTTATAAAGATAGCGACATATCTCATGTCGATGTTCTGTAGACAAGACAGAATCGAGCGACCCAGTGACATATAGAGCAAATACCTGCAAGAAACACACAATACAAATAACTCATTTGAAGAACATTTAACAGGTTACCAGCAAAAAAAAAGAAGATTGAGGCCCATGCATTGGAAATCTGTACTCCTCCATGTCATTATGTACAATAAATAAATGTTTGATCGAGATTGAAATGAAATTGCCAGGCTTAAATATGATTTTTACCATGATAGGCATAACGAATAGAACTCCGCTGTATTCAGCTGGCCAATGCCCATCAGGTGCCTGGAGACTTGAATGTTGAGTGAGGACTCGGCGCAGTGATGTTTCTATAATCTCTTTGGTAACTTCATCCGTTTCTGCAAGCTTGATGGCCGGAACATCCATCTCAACATATTTTTGTTTTGCATACTGAAATAGATTGTAGCGTACAATGTGAGATTTTATTTGCACTATATACGATATAACAAAGAAAAAAAAACTTTCACTGGCCTGTTTGGTTCCATAGAATTGGCCTGAATTGGAATTGAATTCTAAAACGGGCCTATTTGGTTATCCACCAAATTAGAAATCAACGTTCCAGATAGTTTCAGAGCCCGAATAAAATGCCTGCGATAGATTCTTGGGCTGTGAGACGGAAAAAGGATTCCAAGCGCCTCCCATCTCGTCCCTCGATATCTGCTCAAAAAAAAAAAATCTCCTCCCTCGATACGTCTCTCGTGACACCTCTTCCTCCCGACGCCCCTCCGGACTCGCCTCCTTCATGAGTCCCGACACCTCTCTGTTCTCCCCTGCCTCGACGATGCCATGGCAGCTAGGGTTTCCTAGGGTTCTCTATGGGTACTCTTCAGAGAGACTACTGGCTCAGGTCGTCGTTTCTATTGCAGTGCTTGGATATGACAATAAGGAGTGCATGTTAAAGGTGTGCAAAGTCCTCGGAGTCAAGAGCAATGAGCTTCTTTGCAGCTAATGGTTGGTCGTTTACTTTTCGTATTGGTCTTTAGTGGTGTGCCTGTAATAGATAAAACTTTGAGGTGCACGAGTTTTGTAACAGGTTTGATTTTGATGCTTCTTCTTTGAAGAAGTATGAAACCGGAACTCTTTCCGGTCTGTTAAAGAAAATCACACAGAGAGGAATCCATATTCCAGATTCAGGGTTTGTAACTCTTATGTAAAATACAGTAATAATCGTGGCTGCAGATCATGTATAATACTGAGCTGACTATCCCCAACTATAACCTAGCTCGTTCAGCATATAAGCAGTGGCCATTTCCATGAACAGTATTTAGGACATTTCAGCATATGGTGCCCCAATCAGGATTTTTTACTAAAGCTGGAACGTGGACCTAGAAAGTGTTGAATCAATCACTGTTACTCCTATATATTAAAAAAAATGGCCAGTGTTTAACCTGCATACGCATGAGGAGGTCCTGGGACTCTCTCTTCTGGAAGCGGTGCTCACTGAATTCCTTGCGCACCCTCTCGACCTCGGCGCGTTCCTCCGTTGTGCCTAGATCAGGATCAAACTCCCAAACTGCCCTGCCGAGAAAGTTGTAAGCGGAACTCAACCATGGGTCGTCGGAGGCCCCCTCTGAGACTTTGAGTTTCCACATGGTTGCTAGCTAGCTCGAATGCATTTGTTCACTGAGTTCAGTTGTCTTTTATAGAAAGAAATCACAACCGGAGACCGGCTTTTTGTCGAGTGCCAAGTGGATTGCCGAGTGTTTTTTTTCGAGCACTCGGCAAAGAAAAAAACACTCGGCAAAAAAAAAAAAACACTCGGCAAGGAAGCTCTTTACCGAGTGTTTTTTTTTACACTTGGCAAAGAAGCTTCTTTCCCGAGTGTTTTTTTTTGACACTCGGCAAAGAAGCTTCTTTCTCGAGTGTTTTTTTTTGACACTCGGCAAAGAAGCTCTTTGCCGAGTGTTTTTTTTGACACTAGGCAAAGAAAATTTCAAAACACATTTTGAAGCAGTAAATTAATTCAAATGAAAAAAATTTCAACTACAAAGTTGTATAACTCATCAAGATATACAATGTTTGTTTTGGTCTTTTCTTCATATGACAAAGTGAAAGTAAATTTGTTCACAAATCTAACATATCTCTATTGTAGTTTATGAAACTACGAGAGAGATATAAGATTTGTGAACAATGTTAGAACGACCATGTCGGATGAACATGTGACCAAACAACCAAAATAAACTTTGTAGATCTCGAAAAGTTATGAAACTTTGTAATTGGCAACTTTTTGATTTGAAATAATCTTGTCATGCAAAACTGTGTTTGAATTTCAAAAATTTAAAATTCAAACTTTTCAAATGACCTCGGATGAAAAAACAACCAAAATAAACTCTGTTGATCTCAAAAAGTTATGAAATATTGTAGTTGGCAACTTTTTGATTTGAAATCATTTTGTCATGCAAAACTGTGTTCAAATTTTGTAAACGACATCGGATGGAAAAACTTCCTAAACTAAAAGTGTAGATCTCGAAAAGTTATGAAACTTTGTAGTTTACAACTTTTTTATTTGAATTCGTTTAGTGTCTCAAACAAGTAATTTACACTCGGTTTAGTACAACTTTCTTAAGCTCTTTGTTTTCTTTAAGCTATACAATTGGAACTCAGAAAGCGTCGATAGGATTCTTATAGCAGCAAAAAAACATGTTCTAGTTCTTCCATTCCGGCAAGATGTTAGTTATCTATCTACCTTAGTACAGCTTGAGCTTGCATAGCTGCATTTCAGTACTGACTTTTAACAGTATACGCATGGTAGCTTGCACATTAGTAATTTAGTGTGTACCTACTTTAATTTTTTGTGTGTGATTAATTATTGACTTGCAGCTTACAGAGGTCAGTGATTGTTTCAATGAGGTAATAATAACTACTGTTGTGAAAACTGGTTTTGTTGCAATATACAATTTTTTTTTATCAATTTGATGTTAGGATGGATTTACACTGGCGGCCCGTAAACTTGTAGCTCTGTGCCACTTAGGTCCATGAACTCTCAAACTTGAAATCCAGCTCTCTGAACTTGTTAAGTCGTGCATCGCAGGTCCATGCTCAGTGAACTCCTTGCGCACCCTCTCATCCTCGGCGCGTTCCTCCGTTGTGCCTAGATCAGGATCAAACTCCCAAACTGCCCTGCCGAGAAAGTTGTAAGCGGAACTCAACCATGGGTCGTCGGAGGCCCCCTCTGAGACTTTGAGTTTCCACATGGTTGCTAGCTAGCTCGAATGCATTTGTTCACCGAGTTCAGTTGTCTTTTATAGAAAGAAATAGTAGAGGAAAACGACGTTCAACGAGCCAACTGCCGACGTAAATAAGACACCTAATTGGTATGGTTCCTTTTGAGTATTAATCTCTATAACTAAAATATTCATAACTATTCTATCTACATGTGTGACACCAAAACTATTCCATGCGATCAAATCAGAAAGATAACGCACACTCGCCCTATAGAAAGGCAAAAATCAATTACCGTAACGATGCTCGAGACTCCTAGGCGAGTTTACACGTTACGCAGAGCTCGAGTCGGAGGGGGACAGGTTCTGATCTACAAAAACCACTGCGTTCGTGGTAGTGTTTTATCTGCAATCCGTCCCATCTAGAGAAGACCAAAGTTGTTGATTAGGTCATCTGTCAGTGTTGCCCAATTAGAGTCCATCTGCTTCAACGCACGCTACAAGGGCAGGCATATAAAGATAACCAGACCCATCTGATGGATCGTGAGGTGGGAAAAAAAACAATTTTCCTACGTGCACACGGAATAGGTTACCAGGAAGTTTAGGGTTTATTGCTGATATATTTTTAGGTGGTGGAGTACTAGATTCTAATGACTCTCTTCGTGCATTTTAATACATACTCTTCTACATGGAACCTATTGAAAATCAGAAACAAGGTTGTTCAATACCATTGAGAGACTTAACAAAACCGATCATTGAAGGTAAATCTGTTATATATACACCCACATACTATTCTGCAGCTAGCCATAGAATAACTTATTCTATGGCCACTTTGAGTTACGATAATTACCATGCTAATTTATAAGATTACAGTAACTCCTTACTAAGTGATTTACTATAACATTATTGTAAATATCACCGTGAATTGTAGTAACACGAGTATCGTAAATGCATATTCATTTTATCGTAAATTGAAACAAATATTATTATAAATCAAGGTGGCTATAGAATAAGTTATTGTATGGCCAGCTACAGAATAGCCTTACCATATATATATATATATATATATATATATATATATATATATATATATATATATATATATATATATATATATATATATATATATATATATATATATATCAGATTCGGAAAACCAGCAGCCGCTGGTCCACACCTGGTACAACTTCGAACCCTTTTGTCCAATCGTGCTTGTTTCTTGCACATTTGTATTCGGAACACAGTCCTTACACCCAGGCGGCAGCGGCGGCGCTTGGCTGGCCGCGCAGGCGTGGAGCGACACGGATGGGTGAGCCCAGATGCGCGCGAACGAGGCAAGGCCGCGAGCCCAAAGGGAACGAGTCCATGTGCATGTAGGTCGGATGTGCGTATAGACGTATTCGTAGATGGAGAAGGTAGATAAGGAGAGAGAAAAGAAAAAATAAGTAAGATAAAAAATAAGAAAAAGAATATAAAAGGATACTATAGACATTTCACCGCTTTCAACAACTAAGTGAATCTATTTTAACAAATATTTTTCTGAGACAACATCAGCTATACCAGTGAAGATGCTCCACCGTCCGAAACCAAAAAATAAAAAACTACCCCATCGATGAAGCGGAGCTGTACCATACATGCTTTTATTATATCTGTGTAAGCCACAAGCCACGTGTGTCGCGGTAGGCGAGGATAAAAAATCGTGACCCCGTGCAACAAACGGGCATATATCTATTATATAAAAAAAAACATCGCTATTATTCGCTGAAAACGACATACCACCGCTGAACGACGCTTCAACAAGACTACTACAGCTAGCACTGTTTGTCACAACAACCTCATTGGCACTACCATGATAATGTTTTAAGCCTAACCCTCGTCACCGTTTCATCTTCCGATGTTCGTTGTTTTCACATCGCAATCCGTAACCGTAGGTCCTCCTGACTGTGCCGGCGCCACAGCGGCTGCTCCTTCGTATTCATTCTCGATCTCGTGTCTCAAAGACGTACGCAAATCTCAGCGACGACATGCCAGTGGCCGCTGGCGATAGGCTCTCCCTGCCCATCTGCTGTCCAGGTATCCCAAATATCCAATTCTGCAACCGGCAACTAAACCTGGCTTGACCCGCTTATTTTTTCATCTGGAACAGTGTTTTTCTCTCACAAATTCCTCCAGCATTCCTCCAAACCATCCAGATTCCTCCAAAATTCAGACAAGCGAACAGGCCCTAACAGTCAAGTCTGAAATATATATATGAGGTCTTAAGCTCTTTGTTTTCTTTAAGCTATACAATTGGAACTCAGAAAGCGCCGATAGGATTCTTATAGCAGCAAAAAAACATGTTCTAGTTCTTCCATTCCGGCGAGATGTTAGTTATCTATCTACCTTAGTACAGCTTGAGCTTGCATAGCTGCATTTCAGTACTGACTTTTAACAGTATACGCATGGTTGCTTGCACATTAGTAATTTAGTGTGTACCTACTTTAATTTTTTGTGTGTGATTAATTATTGACTTGCAGCTTACAGAGGTCAGAGGTCAGTGATCGTTTCAATGAGGTAATAATAACTACTGTTGTGAAAACTGGTTTTGTTGCAATATACAATTTTTTTTATCAATTTGATGTTAGCATGGAATTACACTGGCGGCCCTTAAACTTGAAGCTCTGTGCCACTTAGGTCCTCGAACTCTCAAACTTGAAATCCAGCTCTCTGAATTTGTTAAATCGTGCATCGCAGGTCCATGCTAAGTGAACTCCTTGCGCACCCTCTCGTCCTCGGCGCGTTCCTCCGTTGTGCCTAGATGAGGATCAAACTCCCAAACTGCCCTGCCGAGAAAGTTGTAAGCGGAACTCAACCATGGGGCGTCGGAGGCCCCCTCTGAGACTTTGAGTTTCCACATGGTTGCTAGCTAGCTCGAATGCATTTGTTCACCGAGTTCAGATGTCTTTTATAGAAAGAAATACTAGAGGAAAACGACGTTCAACGAGCCAACTGCCGACGTAAATAAGACACCTAATTGGTATGGTTCCTTTTGAGTATTAATCTCTACAACTAAAATATTCATAACTATTCTATCTACATGTGTGACACAAAACTACTCCATACGATCAAATCAGGAAGACAACATACACTCGTCTTATAGAAAGGCAAAAATCAATTCCCGTAATGATGCTCGAGACTCCTAAGGCGAGTTTACACGTTACGCAGAGCTCGAGTCGGAGGGGGACAGGTTCTGATCTACAAAAACCACTGCGTTCGTGGTAGTGTTTTATCTGCAATCCGTCCCATCTAGAGAAGACCAAAGTTGTTGATTAGGTCATCTGTCAGTGTTGCCCAATTAGAGTCCATCTGCTTCAACGCACGCTACAAGGGCAGGCATATAAAGATAACCAGACCCATCTGATGGATCGTGAGGTGGAAAAAAAAAACAATTT